GATTTGATGGAGGGGAGACTCCCATCTCCCTCTGCAGAATTTGCTCTCCTTCCCTTCCGCCCCTCCCCCCGGTGAGCAGCTGCGGGCCAGGCTGGGCTACCAGCTGCTCTGGGCACCTTTGGCGGCCCAGGTGCACCCCGCGTGCAGCCCAATGGGTTCGTCCTGCGCCCTGCTAGGTTCGCAGACTCCTGGTGATTTTATCGGGTGCGGCCTCCCGCGTCTGGGACCCCCCCACACATCAGGATCCCGATGCCTCTGCACGGCCTGACGCCAGCCCCTGCCCATGCCGTGGTAGGCGGCAAAGGAGTCACAGTGCGAAGCTGCCTAAGGGATAAGGAAATGATGCTGCAGAGATCGCGATGCCGTTACATAAACCAGCCATGCCTCCGCCTCTGGGCTGGAGTTACCTTGAAAAAGAGCAGAATGAGCAGAGCTCTGAGATAGTAACAAAAACAATGAGGGCGTAGAAAGACTGCTCTGGGAGAAGAGACTGAAAAGATGGGGCTGTTCAGAGAGGAGTTAAATTAGAGGGAACACAATAGAGAGATGCAAAAATATGAATGATAAGAGAAGGCAAGTCAAGCCCTTCGTTGTAACACAAGAACACAATGGGAGTTGAAATACAATACATGCATTTAAAACTATAAAAGGAAATACTTAATTGTGCTCTGTAAAACTTATGGAACTCGTTGCCACGGGGTATTGCTGAGACCAAGAGGTTAGTGGAATTCAAAGAATTAGACACAGGGTTCATACACAATGACATTGACCATTCCTCTAACCCGTGTGAGTGCTGTCAGTAATTTCCACTGCATACAGTATTGTGGCATTGGGTGTTTGACAGTAGCACGGAGATGGGTGTGGACATTTCTTCTCTCAACACTGCAGGGTAACACTTGCCTGGAGAATGGATCCTTCCTGCTCAACTACGTGGGGTGTGTGGAGTGCAACAAGCGGGACTTTGTGCTGATCACAAACAGGGCCACGGACGACGATGATGGAGAGGAAATCATCACTTATGACCGTAAGGCGTTCCCCTTATTTTGCCCATCTAGCGATTGTGCACACAGCCACAGGCCTTAGGAACCCAGGCTGCAGAGGAGGCGAGGTGCTTTATTATTTCACCTGTTTAGGGGAGGAGTAGACCCATTACTTGGCTTGAATAAATTATAGGCTATCGGTTAGGCTCCAGTGGTTCCCAGACTTTTCGGCATCATGCCCCCTTTTTGATTTTTGAGAAACCCTCACACACACACACCCCCAAATAGCAGCAAAACTTGTTGAGCAAAAAAAAACAAAGGAACTGACTGGGGCTGAAAAACAAAAATAGCAGCAAAACTTAGGGAGAGGAGGATTGATGGGGAGGGGCTGGGTCACCTTATGCCCCCCCTGGAATTTCTTCATGCTCCCCCTCAGGGGGCATGCCCTCCAGTTTAGGAACCCATGGAGCCAGAGGGTGGTTGGAAAGATGGCTGGAGCTCCTGAAAGAG